ATTCATGGACCTAACATTCCAGGTTCCTATGCAATATTGCTCTTTACAGCATCGGACCTTGCTTCTATCACCAGTCCCATCCACAACTGGGTATTGTTTTTGCTTTGGCTCTGTCCCTTCATTCTTTCTGAGTTATTTCTCCACTGATCTCCAGTAGCATATTGGGCACCTACCGACCTGGGGAGTTCCTCTTTCAGTATCCTATCTTTTTGCGTTCTCATACTGTTCATGGAGTTCTCAAGGCAAGAATACTGAAGTGGTTTGCTATTCCCTTCTCCAGTGGACCACTTTCTGTCAGACCTCTCCACTATGACCCGACCACTTGACCCACACGCCATGGCTTAGTTTCATTGAGTTAGACAGGACTGTGTTCCTGTTATCAGATTGGCTAGTTTTCTATGATTATGTTTTTAGTGTGTCTGCCCTCTGATGCCCTCTCACAACACCTACCATCTCACTTGGGTTTCTCTTCATGACCCAGATAATCACAATGGTGTGATCACTCACCCAGAGCCAGACATCCTGGAATGTGAAGTCAAGTGGGCCTTAGGAAGCATCACTATGAACAAAGCTAGTGGATGTGTTGGAATTCCAGTTGAGCTATTTCTAATCCTGAAAGATGATGCTGTGAAAGTGCTGCACTCAATATGCCAGCAAATTTGGAAAATTCAGCAGTGGCCACAGGACTGGAAAATGTCCGTTTTCATTCCAATCCCTAAGAAAGGCAATCCAAAAGAATGCTCAAACTACTGCACAATTGCACTCATCTCACACGCTAGTAAAGTAATGATCAATATTCTCCAAGCCAGGCTTCAGCAATACGTGAACCATGAACTTCCAGATGTTCAAGCTGGTTTTAGAAAAGGCAGAGGAACCAGAGATCAAATTGCCAATATCCACTGGATCATCGAAAAAGCAAGAGAGTTTCAGAAAAACATCTAATTCTGCTTTATTGACTACACCAAAGCCTTCGACTGTGTGGATCACAAGAAACTGTGGAAAATTCTGAAGGAGATGGGAATACCAGACCACCTGACCTGCCTCTTGAGAAATCTGTATGCAGGTCAGGAAGCAACAGTTAGAACTGGACATGGAACAACAGACTAGTTCCAAATAGGAAAAGGGGTACATCAAGGCTGTATATTGTCACCCTGCTTATTTAACTTATATGTAGAGTACATCATGAGAAACGCTAGTCTGGAAGAAGCACAAGTTGGAATCAAGATTGCTGGGAGAAATATCAATAACCTCAGATATGCAGATGACACCACCCTTATGGCAGAAAGTGAAGAGGAACTAAAAAGCCTCTTGATGAAAGTGAAAGAGGAGAGTGAAAAAGTTGGCTTAAAGCTTAACATTCAGAAAACTAAGATCATGGCATCTCGTCCCATCACCTCATGGGAAATAGATGGGGAGATAGTGGAAACTGTCAGACTTAATTTTGGGGGGCTCCAAAATCACTGCAGATGGTGACTGCAGCCATGAAATTAAAAGTCGCTTACTTCTTGGAAGGAAAGTTATGACCAACTAGATAGTATATTAAAAAGCAGAGACATTACTTTGCCAACAAAGGTCTGCCTGGTCAAGGCTATGGTTTTCCCAGTGGTCATGTATGGATGTGAGAGTTGAACTGTGAAGGAAGCTGAGCGCCCAAAAATTGATGCTTTAGAACTGTGGTGTTGGAGAAGACTCTTGAGAGTCCCTTGGACTGCAAGGAGATCCAACCAGTCCATCCTAAAGGAGATCAGTCCTGGGTGTTCATTGGAAGGACTGATGCTGAGACTGAAACTCCAGTACTTTGGCCACCTCACATGAAGAGTTGACTCATTGGAAAAGACTGTGATGCTGGGAGGGGTTGGGGGCAGGAGGAGAAGGGGGCAACAGGGGATGAGATGGCGGGATGGCATCACCGACTCAATGGGCATGAGTTTGAGTAAACCTCTGGAGTTGGTGATGGACAGGGAGGCCTGATGTGCTGAGGTTCATGGGGTTGCAAAGAGTCAGACATGACTGAGTGACTGAACTGAACTGAACTGATCATCAACTCCCAACCTAGATGCCCTGAGGGATGCAAAGATGACTCATATCCATGCTGCCCCAAAGAACTTGCAGTACAGTGGGGACGTGAGCCAAGTGCTTCACTAACATTGCAAAGTCAAGAGAGTTCTGTGTTTGAGAGACTTACAGGTAAAGGTGTAAATATAGAGAAAACTGTTGACTAAAAAAAGATGTAGAACTTGAGAGCTGTGAGTTAAGTTTTATTTGGGGCAAAATGAGGACTGCAGCCTGGGAGGCAGCATCTCAGGTAGCTGTGATAGACTGTTCCAAAGCAGCAGTGGGGGAAAGGCAATATATAAGGTTTTGGTGAAGGGGGAGTTCAGTACCATGAAGCACTCAATTTACGAAAGGTTTTTTTTGTTGTTGTTAGTCATGAGGGTCTGATGTCACCATGAAGGGATTTAGTGCTTCTCTAAATATGAGAAGATGCAAGGATTGAGGTCATAAAATCTGTGCCTAAAAACATCCACCAGATTCCCTGGAGCACAGAATGCCTCACTCTACCCTGAACTCCGTCAGGGGGGTGTTGAAGGTGAACAGCTATAGCAGCATGGGCTTCAGTCTCCATAGACACAGATGGCAAATGCCATTGTTGTTCAGTCATTGGCAATGCTCTTGGTAAGTGCCAATTTGTAGTTGACAAAACCAACCCATGTTAATTTCCCTTCAGAGCAAATTTCATTATGAATAGATCAAAACATGGTTGTTTATTCTATAGCTGAAAAATCCATGTATATGAAACTATTACTTTAGTAAGTAGAGACATTACTTTGCTGAAAAAGATCCATCTAGTCAAAGCTATGGTTTTTCCAGTAGTTATGTATGGATGTGAGTGTTGGACCATCAAGAAAATTGAGTGCTGAAGAATTGATGCTTTTGAAATGTGGTGTTGGAGAAGACTCTTGAGAGTCCCTTTAACTTCAAGGAAATCAAGCCAGTCAATCCTAAAGGAAATCAATTCTGAATATTCATTGGAAGGACTGATGCTGAAACTGAAACTCCAGTACTTTGGCCAGCTGACATAAAAAACTGACTCATTATAAAAGACCCTGATGCTGGGAAAGATTGAAGGTGGGAGTAGAAGGGGACGACAGAGGATGAGATGTTTGGATGGCATCACCGACTCGATGGACATGAGTTTGAGCAAACTCTGGGAGTTGGTGATGGACAGGGAAGCCTGGAATGCGACAGTCCATGGGGTCACCAAGAGTCGGATGTGACTGAGCTGCTGAACTGAACTGAACCAATGAAACTATAGGGTTGGCCAGAAAGTTCTTTTGGTTGTTAAGTAAAAATAAAAGACACAATTTTCTTTCTCACCAAGAACTTTACTGAACAGCATGTTCACTGTTTGTTTCACTACCTTCTGCCATTTTTTAGGCAACTTCATAATTTCATCTTCCCAAAGCTTTTTATATTTTTGAACAAAGAACTCTTCCCAGTGTTTTTGTTACAGTCTTCCAAGGTATTAATTTTTTTTCACTTAAAGAATTTCTTAAAGAAATAAATGGAAATCTTAAGATACAATACCCAGTGAATATTATATCTTAAGATGAATAAGATACGTGTGAATGGATCAGAACTACCATGCCAAGCTGGAACAAATTTTGCCTGGTTATCAAAGAAACATTCTTCTGTTATCCTGATAGAAGTTTAAGCATTATCTGCTGACTAATTCTGGAAGCTTTTCATTGAATACTGCTTTCATTTGGCTCAATTGGAAGCGGCACTTAGAATTAATCGTTTTTTCAGAAGGAGCTCATAACAGGATACTCTTTCTCCAATCCCACCATATACACATACACCTTCTTTGGTTGAAGATTGGCCTTTGGTGCGGTTGGTGGTGGTTCGTTTAACTTGCCCCATGATCTCTTCAGTTCCACATTATTGTACAGTATCCACTTTGCATTGCCCTTCACAATTTGTTTAAAAGTGGATTGTGTCCATTATATTTAACTAGAGAATTGTATGTGGAAATACAGTCAATAAGTTTTTTCGGGTGAGCGCTTTTTACCTTTACGAGAGGTGGATGGGGACGGGCACGCGGGCTCCTGCACCCGGGAACGGGGAGCGAGCGGGCGGGCGGGCGGGCATTTCCGCGGTGGGACCTGGAGTCTCCCGCTGAATTTGAACTGTGCAGGGATTCTCTCCTGCGGTTGAGGGGGAGAGAGGCAGCGGAGTCTGGCATAAATTAAAGTGTTGAGTCTGTGGTATAATAGGTTCGCTTCTCTTTAGCACCATAATAGGCAAAAAGAGGGCTGAACTAGGTGGCATCGGTGACCCGAGGTCAGTTAGTAAGTCGATAAATTTACTGAATGTGTTCGACGTGCCCAGTTCGGTCATAGGCACTTCGGGAGTTACAAAAAAAGTGTAAAGCGGCCTTTTTCTGGAGGATCCCTCAGTCTCCTTGGGGAGGCAAGGTCAACTTGGGGACACTCGAATTCACGCAAAGACTCATCCTGGGTATTGGTATGGACAACTGTAAAACTTCCTGGCACCTTTTTTCTCCCTATAAATCTGTAACGGGCAAACACTGTTTTTTTCTCTAAGTGGCAGTAAACAGGCCCATCATTCTTACAGAGACACCAGAAAATAATGCAGCGTAGTTTATACTTAACTTCTACCCACCAGCACACGCACAACCCACTCCCTGAGAGCCTGCGTGCCAGCAGCCTGGAACTCAGAGCCTCTCGTGGAGTCTGCACGATCAATCCAGACCGAAGCTGATGTCTTCTAGAGAGACGGAAGTGCAATCCAGCCAGGGCGTAGCAGAATTTTGAGAGGCCGGAAGGCCTCCGCGTCCGCCAGGGGACCGCTGGGACTAATTCTTTTGGCAAACTTGTGACCAGCCATAACTGCCATGCTTCACATCCCTGTTATCCTTGGTTACCGCCCGAGATGAAATTGTTGACAACTTTAAATTTGATCCCTGAAAGGACTCAATGGCTTACAAAGGAGATGAAATGTGGTCTGAGGGACGATATGACTATGAAAGACTTCCAAGAGAAAGAGTACCTCCTCGAAGTCACCCCAGTGATGAATCTGGCTATAGGTGGACAAGAGATGATCATTCTGCAAGCCGACAGCCTGAATACAGGGACATGAGAGACAGCTTTAGAAGAAGCGGTTTCTACTCCTCCCATTATGTGAGAGACCGGTCTCCTCATAAAAGAGACACTCCTTTTTTCAGAGAATCGCCTATAGGCCGAAAGGATTCTCCACACAGCAGATCTGACTCCAGTGTCAACAGTAGGAGTTACTCTCCAGAAAGAAGCAAAACTTATTCCTTCCATCAGTCTCAACACAGAATATTGATTGGAGCCAAATAAGAATAACAGAACAAAAAAGATTGAGGATAGGAGGGACATTCATATTTAAGGAGTAATAACCAACAAAGGAGAGAGAAAGAGCCCGTGCATGCTGGTGCCTGCTACAAACGGCAGAATGAAGGAAAGCCAGAAAGAGATAAAGAAAGACCTGTTCAGCCTTTGAAAACATCAAGAGACACTTCACCCTCAAGTTCTTCAGCAGTTGCTGCATCAAAGGTACTAGACAAACCCAGTAGGCTAACTGAAAAGGAACTTGCTGAAGCTGCAAGCAAGTGGGCCGCTGAAAAGCTAGAGAAGGCAGATGAGAGTAACTTACCCGAAACTTCTGAGTATGAGGCGGGATCCACAGCACCATTGTTCATTGACCATCCAGTAGAACCTGAGTCAAATGCAACAGATGGCATAGAATTATTTGAAGACAGTCAGCTAACCAGTCGCTCTAAAGCAATAGCAACAAAAACCAAAGAGATTGAACAGGTTTACCGACAAGACTGTGAAACTTTTGGGATGGTTGTGAAAATGCTGATTGAAAAAGATCCTTCATTAGAAAAGTCTATACAGTTTGCCTTGAGACAGAATTTACATGAAATAGGTGAGCGGTGTGTTGAAGAACTCAAGCATTTCATTGCAGAGTATGACACTTCAAGTCAAGATTTTGGAGAGCCGTTTTAGATTGCTTTCTCAGGCAAAAAAAAAAATTTCTAGACTTTTTTCCCCCTGGATTGTGTAAATCCTTAATATATAGAATTTTTGTGAAGAGAAATACTTTATAATAGTTGACCATATTTCCAATATCAAATAAACATCTAAAATAGTCTGTTTAAGATATTTTAATTAGAATCTTTTTTATCTACATGTAGAGCCTTCTAATACATACTTATCTTTTTTCCCCCTCTCCCAAAACGATGGGTCAATTAATTGTTCAAGCTTTCTTGAAAATGCAGTCCAAGATTTCTGTACTTACAGGACATGTCCTGTAGTCTTCCGTTGTTATGTGATCATTTGTTTGGTCACACTAGTGTAATTTATAGGTTAGAATACATTCCACTTAAACATTTGTAATCTTTTTGCATTTCATAGTCAGTGATAATGTTAGAATTCTGAGCTGTGTTTTATTGACTTGCTTGCTTACCTTAGGCTTTGTAACTTTCAATATGTTTAAGTATATTCAAATAAACTGAATACTTTGGTATCTTGGGGAATATTTGCTTTGAGGATAATTCTCATTGTGATGAAATAGAGCATTTAAATCTCTGAAAGACACCTCATAATAAAATCCTGTTTTCCAAGTAAAAAAAAAAAAAGTTTTTTCACTTCATTTATGCAGAACCCTAACATCAGAACAATGAACATACCCGAGCTGCTGCAAATGATTTCCAAGTTGATTCTGAGTATGTTGGTTATCTCCCATGGGGTATAGCATTGTTTGTTTTCCATGAATGTCTCAGTTTGATTGCTATCACCTTCAACTGGTCTATCTGACTATGGAGCATCATCCATCAAGAAATCTCCAGCATAAAACTGTGCAAACCACTTTGGAAACATTTGGTGAATCACAACACCTTCTCTGTAAAATGCACAGTCTTTCTTTCCTTTTTTTTTTTTTTTGCCTTTCATTTGCAGTTTTATCTTTCTTAAAATGATAAAGCAGAACACCCTGTAAATGTTGCCTTTCCCCCCATCTTCAATTTTAGAATGGCCACACAAATGTGACAGTTGTCACAATACAGTCTAATAAAAATTGTTTTGAATGAAGTTAAAGACAACAAAGCACTGCTTACAGAAAAGCTGAATGAAAATTTTGGTCAATGGCAAACGTCATTAAAATATTACATCACTACTGCTCCTGCCAGGAGAGAAACCTGAAGCAGGAAAATGAAGGCAGAGCAATGGAAAGAGTGATCAGGATTCATGAGTCTGGTTTTGCTTCAGTCTATTTGTAGGCTCAACAATAAACTCTGCTCCAAGAATCTGTGTGGTATCCAGGGATGTGTAAAATAATTTTTCATATTCTCTTACTTCCAACAAATAATCAGTATTCAAGAAAGGGAAAAACTTGAGTTCTTAAATCCAAGATTCACACACTTGCAGCTCTTTGTAAATCATGCCAACAATGCTGACAAATGTGATAATTCAGAAGTTAATAATCAATAAAGCTTGTTATGACTTCCCTTGTAGCTCACTTAGTAAAGAATCCGTCTGCAATGCAGGAGGCCCCAGTTCGATTCCTGGGTTGGGAAGATCCTCTGGAGAAGGGATAGGCTACCCACTCCAGTATTCTGGCCTGGAGAATTCCATGGACTGTATGGTCGATGGGGTTGCAGAGTTGGACACGACTGAGCGAGTTTCAGTTCAAAGCTTGTCCACATTCAACCCGTCAGTGGGACTTTTTAGATCATGTGATATTTGACACAGCTTCTAGAATCCTAGGTGTATGGAGCTTTTCACGGAAGTAATATTGAAACCATATGCCATAGAGTTACAGAGCTCATCTTCAAACTATGCCCCACTGGGTTGACAGAGACTGGTGACTAACAGATAGCCACGAGTTTGCCTTACAGAGCAGCAGATAAGGGAAAAAAAAATGTTGAAAACCTCTCTGCTTGTTGAAAAGCTGTTTCAATTAATGAAACTGGGGTTAGTTATTTTTTTTCTGCACTTAACTGTGCACACTGTAAGATTCACATAGCCTAGATAATGTATCACAAGACTACTTAACCACCTCTATAGATAAAGCCTCTGCCTGTGGGTCACTGTAGTAATAGGAGAGACTGATATTTGTTTCCAGGAACTTTGACTTTGATCCTGCTCAAGTCCAACCAAGACTGGTTGGGACCCATCACCCCTAAAACTGGATTTGATGACTTACCTTTTGATGTCAGAGGGCCTAAAACTCCATCCTCAGATCATGCTAAGTGTCTCCATTTATTGAACATGCATCTCAAGAAGAAGCTTGTGATCCAGATATGACTGGAAAGGACACCGATTACCTCACTTTTCCTCTACTTGTCAATCACCTTGCCTTTTGCCTAAGGCCAGGCTGCTTTTTTATCCCATAGATATCTTGGGCCCTTTCCTTTCAAGAAGGTGGATCTGAGATTTGTTCTTCTGTCTCCTCATTTGGCTGTTTCATGAATAAACTTTTATTCTGCTGAGGAACTTGGCATCCATGTTTAGCTTGGGTAAACATCAGGGTAAGCATCAGGGTAGCAAACCATATCTTTTAAAAATGTTCAGCTTTATTGACATGCAATTGGCATAAAGCTGTAAAATATTTAAAGTGTGCATGTTGTTGATTTGAAATACATATAAATGTGAAACAATATCCCCCATCTAGTGAATTAACATACCCATCTCCTCACATATCTTTTTGTATGTGTGTGAGAACAGTTAGATTTTACCCTCTTAGCAAATTTCAATTATACAAAACAGCATTATTAAACATAGTCACCACATTTTACACTAGATCCTCAGAACTTATTCATCTTATCATTAAATCCTTGTTCCCTTTTACCAACCTCTCCTTGTTTCCCCCATCCAGGAAATCACCATCTTTTTCTCTATTTCCATGAGTTTGGTTTCTCATGGATGCAATATCTGAGGCAGTTCTGATTCTGTATGCTTGCATGCTCAGTCATGTCTGACTCTGTGACCCCATGGACTGTGGCCCGTCAGGCTCCTCTGTCCGTGGGATTTTCCAGGGAAGAACAGTGGAGTGGGTTGCCATTTCCTCCTCCATGGGATCTTCCCAACCCAGGGATTGAATCCCATCTCCTGAGTCTCCTGCATTAGTAGCCAGATTCTTCACCACTGTGCCACGTGGGAAGCCCTGAAGTTCTGAAGATTCCCCAGTTACAAAGGGAACTTTGTATGACCTTGTATGACCTTGCTTTCTCAAGGTCATACTTCCAATTGTGTGTTATTGGAAGCATGCATGGTATGTATGCTCCATGATATGTAAAATCATTCCCAATTAACAATGGATCAGGTTAGCAGGCCATCTCCCAGAGGTCTTACAGGGTAGCATCCACTTAGTCTGAGAACTGATCGTGGAATTGATCATTCTCCACTTAGATCAACTAATTTGACACCACACAAAAAGAGATCTATTTACTGTTAGAAAGTGGATTTTCAACTAAATCCATATACTGATATATAAAACTTGTCACCAAGGGAAATTAGGTATTGTCAGAAACAGATGGGATATACTTGCATAGGATAACATGAGTTTCTTTTGCACCTATATAGTTCTTTTTATGTTGAAAAGACTAGCCTTCAATTGTGACCCTAGTCTAGTATAAACAGCCCCAATGGCCCATCACCATGGCAACAAATGTTCCAATTATGGCCTGTGCTGAAAGGAAACTCTAGTCACATGAATTATTTTTACTTTTTAACTAATTAATTAACTTGCCTGAATCTTAGTTGCAGCATGTGGTCTACTCTCTGGTTGCAGCCTATAGGCTTAGCTGTTCCGCAGCATGTGGGATCTTAGTTCTCTGACCAGGCATCAAACTCACATCTTGTGAATTGGAAGGCAGACTCTTAACCACTGGGAAACAAGGGAAGTTCCAAGATTTATTTTTTAAGTATAGGAATACAAAGAACTCTGATGCCAGAACTATGGCTTCATTTTATAGTTTATGCTTTTAATTATGTGGCTGAGGTTCAATGAGAACGCTTGTAGAGAATCAGCCTCTAATAATTCAGGCAAGCTTGTTTCATCTTCATTACTTGCTCATTATGAAAAGACCAAAGTGAAAACATAAGGTGAAGTGCATTTGATGGAACACCTAATAATCAATTCACCACAGGAAAAAAAGCTTTGAAGCAGGAAGCACTATTTGCACAATCAAAAATAGTAAGCAGTTCTAGCTAAGAATGGCTTTGTTTGAGGCTTTCAAGGATTCACCATCAATGAGTGGATGAACTTTTTATTTGGGTCCCATCTGTAATTTTTGTAATTTTCTTCCAAGTTTCTGGCTGTTGTGCAAGGTGTG